CTAATTTATAAACATGAGATTGTGTTCCATGGAGCCCCAGGGGTCCTCAGAGGATCCTGGGGAATCTGAAGGGAGGAGGCAGAGCTGAACAGGCTGAACTCTGGTCTTATCGTCTTCAGCACAGAAGCTCCATATATATGTATGTATATATATAACAGATCTCTCTCTATCTATATATCTATATATATGTTTTTCATTTTGGGGGCATTGCTAAGCTCTTACTTGATAAAAGTAGTTATTTTTGTACTTCAAAAATAAAAGTTAAAAAACCATGGCCCTAGAGGGTAAGCATATGAAGCCCAATATCTGAATGACTGTACTACATATGTTCATTTATATCAGCGGATTTTAGAATTTGGGCAGTATTTCCTCATATAAAATATACAAATTGCCCAGGCTAGTCTGAAATAATTATTAACCTATGGTGGAACTGAACATCTATATATTTTAACTAAACAATGCAAGAGAAAACAAGGGCTTGGGAACTACTTTGCAACACTGTGGCAAGGATCTGAGGGTGTCCCTAGCCACAGCCAGTGAGTGAGCTCAGAAGCAGATTTCTACCCAGCTGAGCCTTCAGAAGAGATCGAAGTCCTGGCTGACACCTTGATTTCGGCCTTGTGAGAGATCCTGTGCCAGATGACCCAGTTACGCTGTGCTCATATTCCTTTTCCACAGAAACCGTGAGAGAGTAAATGTTTGTCATTTTAAGTTGCTAAGTTTTGGGGTAACTTATGTAGCAAAGGATAATTAATACAGTGTGCAGTAGACTGGGAGTCCTGGAGGCCCTTGTTAAATGTAGTAAGTAATGACTGGTTCTTTTATTTACCTTTCCCTGTGATCCTTGTAAGCTGAAGGGTGTGTTTAAGAGTCGCTCTTCCCTTAACAAAGAGCTCTCACATCACCCCATAAAAGGGTCAGAATCAGCATCTGAAGATCTATCATGCAGAGATCATCAGAGCCTACTCAGGATTGGTCAAAGAAGCCATGTTGGGCTGGGCATGGTGGCTCACGCCTGTAATCCCAGCACTCTGGGAGGCCGAGGTGGGTGGATGATGAGGTCAAGAGATTGAGACCATCCTGGCCAACATGGTGACACCATCTCTACTAAAAATACAAAAATTATCTGGGTGTGGTGGTGTGTGCCTGTAGTCCCAGCTGCTCTGGGAGCTGAGGTGGGAGAATCGCTTGATCCTGGGAGGCAGAGATTGCAGTGAGCCAAGATCGCACCACTGCACTCTAGCCTGGTGACAGAGAGAGACTGTTAAAAAAAAGAAAAAAAAGCCATGTTGACCAACACAAGGAGAGCTGTGACCAAATCGAGTTGTATAAGAAGACATTTGTTTTTACCTCTTCTACAAATTCTCCACACAAACTGGCCAGAGCCTAGAAGATGGGTTGCACTAGGTGTGAAGAAGCAGGATTCCCGAGCACATCAAAATAATAGATTTTCTTGTGTGCAGAGGTGTAATTCATCATCCTCTGAGAATGAACTGGTAGTCAGTGGAGGAGGGGAGACCATGTGACATCCATGAGGATAAGGAAGACTGACCCCAAGAATCATAAGCTAGCATACTTTAAAGGAGCTATTTATAGATGGTGCCAATAACAAGCATTTAAAAGTCTCTGCTTTTGTCTGTTAAAGCATTGCGTATACATCATCAATTTGTTCAAAGCTTAACTTTCCTTTCCTAATTACAGGGAGCATTACCTTACGTAGGAGCTGATTTCTCCATCAGAAGGTTCAAGAGATATGAGAAAGTAGGATCCACAGGACCTAGGATCTTTAGAAGTGAATGGAGGAATTGGGACAGAGCACAGCCATGATGGGTTGGCCCTGCTCCATGATGTCTGAGCTTCAGCTGGGAAGACTCAGGAGTTGAGGATGACTTGATTCCTGGGGCTGGGAATCATCTGGAAGAATCTTCACCTGCATGTCTGGTTGCTGGTCTTGAGTGATGGCTGGGACCCTTCCTTGTCTGTCAGCTGGAACAAATACAGGTGGCAATTCCATGTGGTTTCTCAGCAGAGACTAGCTTGGGCTTCTTCACAGCATAGCTGCTGGGTTCCAAAAGTGAGTTTCCCAAGATATAGGAAGTAGAAGGTGCCAGCATCTTAACACCTTGGACATGGTCGTAGTGGTCATTTCTGCTGTATTTTATGGTCAAGGACTAACAAAGCCCAGATTCAACACTGACCCACCTCTTGATTAGAAGAATGGTAAAGAATTTGGGATTCTATTTTAAAACCTCCACAGTTCTCTAGGTGATAGTGTACCTCCATGGTTAGGAGGAGATCACCCTGATCTCTTCTTCCTGGGAATGTCAATAGACTGTTTCTCCACCCCTTACACCTAGGTGGGGCCAAGAGGCTAAGCTGGTAGGCTCTGAGCAGAAGTGCCACATGTCACCTCTGGCTAAGGTGGGTAAGAGCTCTGGATTTTATTTTTCTTTCTTCCTTTTTTTTTTACATGGAGTTTTGCTCTTGTTGCCTAGGCTGGAGTGCAATGGCATGATCTTGGCTCACCGCAACCTCCACCTCCTGGGTTCAAGTGATTCTCCTGCCTCAGTCTCCTGAGTAGCTGGGAACACAGGCATGCACCACCATGCCTGGCTAATTTTGTATTTTTAGTAAAGACAGGGTTTCTCCATGTTGGTCAGGCTGATGTCAAACTCCCTACCCCAGGTGATCCACCTGCCTCAGCCTCCCAAAGTGCTGGGATTATAGTCATGAACCACCATGCCTGGCTGAGCTCTGGATTTTCTTAGTCTTTTCTCCCTTACCTGTAACCAGAAGCAGGGCATCCAGCAGCAGACACAGGTGGAGGCAGTGGAGGAGTCACAATATGGAAGGGGCGTGGTTCCTTGAATGACGCTAGAGTGAGTCATTTCTCTCATGCTTCTGCCACCAGGATGTGGGGAAGATGTGTTTTGACTGTGTTGAGCCATGGGGTTTTGGGCATTGTTTGTTACAGCAGTTAGTGTATCCTCATACATTATATAACCTCTCTGAACCTGTTTTGTTACCTGCAAAGTGGGGGTATTAGCTGTGGCTACCTCTGAGTGCCCCACAAGTTAAATGAAATAATTTGCTGCACAGTGCCCAGCACATACTAAGTATCCCAATGCGTGGTAGCTATTGTTAATCAGTGAATGAGAACGGTAGTTAGAAGAGAGTGGCAGGTTTGCTTCAGTAATGGTAGAGCTGTCATTGTCATCACCATCATCACTGGAATGGCACCTGCTATGTTCTGAGCACCTGCTTGTCCAGACTCTGTCCTAGGGATGCTATACTTTTGTTCCTTTAAATCCCCTGCAGCAGGTATTATTCACCTTGAGGAGGAGCTGAGAGCCCTGGGCCCACACAGGGCTCCCCACCTTCAAAGCCTGACTCCTTCTACTGCAGCGATCACACCCTTGCATTTTTGGGAAATGTGACACTTAAAAACAAAAGTGGGGAGTTGGGGAGAGACATCATGGGGAGAAATGCGAGATATAGGTGATGGGGAGGAAGGCAGCAAATCACACTGCCATGTGTGTACCCATGCAACAATCTTGCATGTTCTTCACACATACCCCAAAACCTAAAATGCAGTTTAAAAAAAAAAACAAATGACATCCATCGGCTTTCCTTCTTGCTGGGGAAGTGTTGTGTCTTTTTAAAAAATTCGATATTTTATCTTGTTTTATTTTTCAGTTTTTTAACAGATAGGGTCCTACTCTGTCGCCCAGGCTGGAATGCAGTGGTGTGATCACAGCTCACGGCAGCAGCCAGCTCCTGGGTTTGTGTCTTCCCTTTTGAGACTTTCTCTACTTCAAGTTGTAAAGATCTGCTTTTACAAATTAATCTTCTGGCTTCCAGCCTGGCCCCAAGTGTGGAAAGCTCCAGGTTCCTTCCCGGCCCCAGGATCCTATTGGTTCTTTGTTCTGTTTGAACTCTGCAGACGCTAAGAGAAGTGAGTTGGCGGAAAAGCTGGTGAGATCTCAAGAACACAGGCTGCGTCTGAGTCCCGTGAATCTCCCTGCAACTTAAGGCCTCCTGTGAGCAGAGCGGACAACGTGAAGCCCTCTCAAAGACACGATAACTCCAAGTGGGACTGTAACTCCAACTCCAAAGTGGCGTTTTTCTTTCCGTGTGTAACTTGCTGGAAACACTTTATACTGATTTCTTTGTGGAATAAAAAGATATCTGTCTGAATTCCATGAGAGAAAGGCTTGTCGAAACCTCTGAGTTGGTCCTTAACATTCAGATATTACATTTACTAGAGGAAGCACTTTTGCTAGATTAACCAGTGATTGATTTTCCCCCCCAATTTCGTGTTAATTTGCTTCCTCTTTGAGCGGTGAATTTTGGTTTCAGCAACGTAGCCCATCCCACGGATCAGCCCATCTGTGAGTGGATTCGGTGTTAGCATCATGGGGCGGGCTCCCTGGACCGCATTTGCCTTTACATTAACGAACCAGACTTGCAGTTATATTCATTCTGCTGTGGTTGTTTAAACTGTGCACCTTGCACCTTACTTGCTGAGTCAAGATAGCAGGATTTATATAAACAAGGGTTTGCATTTGGCTTATTCGGCTCCTCCTCTGGGTTTGATAACATTTTAAACATTCAGGCCGGGCGCGGTGGCTCACGCCTGTGATCCCAGCACTTTGGGAGGCCGAGGCAGGCGGATCATCCGAGGTCAGGAGTTTGTGACCAGCCTGGCCAACACGGTGAAACCCCGTTTCTAATAAAAATGCAAACAATTAGGCGTGGTGGCGCGCGCTTGTAATCCCAGCCAGTCGGGAGGCTGAGGCAGGAGAATCACGTGAGCCCAGGAGGGCGGAGATCGCGCCACTGCACTCCAGTTTGGGCCACAGAGCGAAACTCCATCTCAAAAAAAACCCTGAACATTCATTTTTTCTTTCTGTGTGTCTGACAAGGCGTTTCTCCTGCAAAAGGCAAGACGTTAGACTAAAACCAACTTCCATACTTAAGATTATCCTTGAAATACTTACGAATACGTTCAGGAAACAAAGCCTTTTGCATTCTGTGCTAGACCAGTGGGTAAACTTTGCTTTCTTGCGGAGAAGAACACGTTTTCTTTAATACGTTGAAAACTGACCGAAAATATTCCCATCTTGGTGGCTGTTTAAGAAAGCGACACAAGATGGCGCCAGAGAGCCGAAGAGGAGAGGGATGCGCGCCCCGCGCAAAGCTCAGCGGGAAAGGGGCGACCGGGGCTGGCGGGCGGGTTGGCAGGGGCGCTCTGCCCGTCCTCGGTCTCCGCTCTCTCCCGGCCGCCTTTTCACCAGCTTCGCACAGACTTTATCCCCGGCGCCCTCCTCGGGTCCTCGGGGTCTGTGGAGCGGCCTGGAGGAGCCGCCGGGAAAGGAAGCGGCGGAGATGGAGGCTCCCTCAGGCCACCTCTGAAGCAGGACGCCCCGCGGAGCGTCTGAGGAGAGCGCGCTGGACGCGGACCCGCCTAGGCCTCCGGGGACCGCGGGAAGCGAGAAGCCGAGGGCGAGGGGAAGCGGCGCTGCGGCCCCTGCTCCCGCCGTTCCTCCGCGGCCCACCGCAGCCTGCGTTCTTTTTCGACCCCGCCGAGTTTTCAGTGAAAAGAATGGAGAAACTGGCTTAGGAAACGGTGTTGGAGGGCGGGCGCGGTGGCTCACGCCTGTCATCCCAGCACTTAGGGAGGCTGAGGCGGGCGGATCACTAGGTCAGGTGTTCGAGACCAGCCTGGCCAACATGGTGAAACCCTATCTCTATTGAAAGTACACAATTAGCCGGGCGTGGCGCGTGCCTGTAATTCCAGCTACTCCAGAGGCTGAGGCAGGAGAATCGTTTGAACACGGGAGGTGGAGGTTGCAGTGAGCCGAGATCGCGCCATTGCACTCCAGCCTGGGCGACAGAGCGAGACTCCGTCTTAAAAAACAAAACAAAAACCATAGTGGTGGAATAACAGAAATAACAGAAAATTCACCATCTTAACCAGTTCGGTGGCATGGAGGACACTCAGCCATTGCGTAGATGGGTGAGTGTCGCCACCATCCGCCTCCAGAATGCCTCATCAAAGGGGACGCAACTCCGCGTCCATGAAATGGTAACCCCAGCTCCTGTCTCTCCGTCTCCCGGCCCTGGCAGCCAGCGTCCTGCTCTCTGTCTCCAGCAATCTGACCACTGTCTGCACCCATGGAAGTGGAATCGCACAGTCGCATTTGTCCTTTTGTGACGGGCTGACATCACTTAGCATCCTGGCCTCAAGGCTCATTCCTGCTGTGGCCTGTGCCGGAATTGCCTTCCTTTTAATAAGCCTGAATCATATTCCTTTGTGTGTGTGTGTATCATTTTTAGCCACTTTTACATGTAGACCTCATTTCTTTCTTTTACAAAAATTATTTTTAATTTCAATAGTTTTTGGGGTACAGGTGGTGTTTGGTTGTGTGGGTACATTCTTTTTGCTTTTCTTTTCTTTTTTTTTTTTTTTTTTTGAGGCAGAGTCTTGCTCTGTTGCTCAGGCCTGAGTCCAGTGGCCCGATCTTGGCGCACTGTAACCTCTGTCTCCTGCATTCAGGTGATCCTCTCCCTCAGCCTCCTAAGTAGCTGGGACTACAGGCACGCACCACCACACCCGGCTACTTTTTGCATTTTTAGTAGAGACGGGGTTTTGCCATGTTGGCCAGGCTGGTCTCGAACTCATGACCTCAGGTTATCTGCCTGCCTTGGCCTCCCAAAGTGCTGGGATTATAGGTGTGAGCCACCACACCCAGCTATGCACATACATTCTTTAGCACTGATTTCTGAGATTTTAGTGCACTTGTCACTCAAGCAGTGTACACTGTATCCAATGTGTAGTCTTTTATCCCTCACTCCCATCCCAGCCTTCCCCACCAAGTCCCCAGAGTCCAGTATATCACTCTTAGGCCTTTGCCAACTCACAGCTTACCTCCCACTTATAAGGAAGAACATAAGGTCTTTAGTTTTCCATTCGTGAGTGACTTCACTTTGAATAATGGCCTCCAGCTCCATCCAAATTGTTGCAAAAGACTTTATTTCATTCCTTTTTCTGACAGAGTAGTATTCCATGGTGTATATATGCCACATTTTCTTTATCCACTTGCTTAGACCACATTTAAAAAATCCATTCATCTGTTTAAGAATGTTTGGGTTGCTTCCGCCTTTTGGCTATTTCAAAAACGATTGAAATTAAATATAAATAAATAAAAAACTTTAAAAAACATAAACATTTAAAAATTTGAGTCCCTGCTTTTAATTCTTTTAGGCATATATTCAGAAGTGGAATTTATGTTTACTTTTTTGAGGAACCACATACTTTTCCCACAGCAGTACTCAAGGGTTTGAATTTCTCCACCTCCTTGTTGACATTTTTCATTTTCTGATTTTAGAAAAATTAGAGCCATTCTAATGGGTATGAAGTGGTATCTCATTGTGGTTTTGATGTGCATTTCCTGGAGACATTGGTTTTCATTTATTTATTTTTTAGGCCTCAGAGGCTTTCCCTAGTCAGGAGCCTGTGCAACATAGCACGGTGGTTATGAGGGTGTGTGACGGACTTGAGGGAGCGTGCCAGAGGCCTGGTGGACTCTCGATGATACCCGTGAGTCCCAGCTGCCCTCAATCTCCGTGTCTTTACCTGTAGGTTGGGGTTTGTAGTAACTCTTTCCACCTAGGTGGAAGACATGAGCTAAGGCATATAAGGCTCTCAGCACAGTTCCTGGCACACAGGAAATGCTCAAAAATGGTATCCATGTTTACAGAAGCTCCATGCAGAAAACAGTAAGGCTGGGTGGTGCTTGGGTCCACGGGGCTGCAGACGGCCTTGCAGCTCCCTTTGCCAACATCTTCCCTCTTCCCCACAACCAAATTATGGACATCCTGTCTCCATATGAGGCATCTTTAGCAAAGAGGTGCTTACTGTGAGCCCTGCACTCTGGTTTCTTGAGCTCCTCTGAGTCCCATAGACTGCAACTGTTACTGGAAGCCACTAAGCCATTCCCTTAGTTGGAACAAATCAGTGTTACCGAGCACCGTTCTAGGCCGTTGGGGCCACTCAAGCTTTCCAGCCTGCATCCCTCCCTCTGGATGATAACACATGTGCCAGGGTACCCGCCCCAGGCTCAGTTAGGAACAGACTGAGCAGGATGCCTGACTGACATCCAAAGATTTCATCTGCTTGGTGCAGCTTCTGCTGAGAAAGACTCCTCCCTGGGGCAAGAAGAGGCTGCTGGCTCCAGAAATAGGAGCTGGTGGGCTTAATAAAGACCCAAAGTGTTATCATTACCAGACACATGGTAGGATGCTTGGGGGAAATGGTCATCTCCGACTTCATTAAATGTGTTCACCCTTTGCAATTTGAACAGAGCAGGAAATATTTTTGAAATAGAGTGCAACAGGTTCATGGAGGAGTCAGGAAGCTTGGGAGGAGAGAGAGCCCGGGGGCAGGACATGGGTCCCTTTTTCTTCCAAGGCGCTGGTGATAACTTTGTAGGATGATTGGTTTTTGGATCTCCTCCAGGTGGTTTCTGTTAACTGTGCAGGAACAATTGGTAAAGGAAGAGATGGTATCTCCACTAAGCAATTAGAGAGCAGCAGAAACAATGTTGCTCAGGATAGGGTTGAGCTGGGGAGGGCCGGGCTGATGGGGCTGAGAGCAGAGAGGTGAAGGAGAGGCTGACCCCGAGGGAGGACAGAGGCCAGGGCTGAGCTGGTGAGATTTTATGTGGCACTGGGAGCTTCCTGAAGTGGGCATGCTGCAAAGAAATTCTTCTTGGGGGAGGAGAGTTGCGACAGAAAGTTCTTAAACAATTCAGAGGGGTTGAGGAGTGGGGGGCTCTGGGAGACCCCCTTCTGGCATGCAGTAAATATTTACTGAACCTATGAATTTGGTCTGCTTTTTGTCCTTAAAGACCCTTTGGTGAAGAACCCAGACTAGACTCAAGCTGGGGAGAGAGACGATGCAGGCAAGGCTGGCCAGGGAGTACAGCCTGGAGGGGGCGATGTATGATCTGGGTCCTGAGGGGTGCATAGGAGTTTAGCTAGATGGACCATGAAGCAAAGGCAGAGGTAAGTGGGAGCTGGGAGGTCAAGGCCTAGGCAGAGGAAACAATACATGCAAAGGCCCCAAGGTGAGCAATGATGGGGGAGAGTGTGAGAACCTCCTGATGCTCACAGGGCTGGAACATAAGCTCTCCCATGGTGTTTGTGAAGTTGAAGAGGGTAGCAGGGACCGAGTCATGCTGAGCCTCTTATGTCTTGTAAGCCTTGCCAGGGAGTTAGAATCTTATCCAGAGGACAATTGGAATCCACCAGAGGGAGGGTTTGAAGCAGGGAGTGACATGGTAGGAGATGACTTTTCAAGGGATGACTCTGTAGAGACTGGAGGGGTGAGGCAAAACTCAGGCAGGTGCCAGGACTGCCCTCCTTATCAGGCTGGCTCTCTTCCTCAGTGCACATGGAGGGCAGAGCTTAGATGACGGAAGCAGGAAGGAGTGGAATGTGCCCTTTTCTGCTGCCCAGTTTCAGAGGGTACCGCCTTTCAAACTGCATAGTACACATACCGCAGCACCTCTGAGTGAACAGAATGAAGATTTAAGAAGACCAAGAGGCGGTTTGATTGAAATCAAAGATGACTTGCAGGTTTCTGACTTGGTACCTTGGAGATTAGCGAATGTTGGTGCCATTCACTGAGTCAGAGAACACAAGAAGTGAGCAGGTTTGGGAGTCTGTAACTGGCAGGAGCTGGGGAAGCAGAGGGGAGGCAGGGCCTGGTGTCAGCACAAAGCCCTTGAGAGCAAGGACCCTCTGTTGTCTGTCTGCCTCACAATGCCTGGCACCAGCTGGACACATGGCAGCCTCTTCTGACTCCCCCAGGGGATGGCCCAGGCTCTTCAAGGTAGTTAGGGTTAGGGTTGGGAATGGGGTGATTTGGGGGCCAAAAGTTAGTGGTGAGAAGAGTGAATGCCACAGGCTGGCCATTGTGGCTCATGCCTGTAATCCCAGCACTTTGGGAGGCTGAAGCAGGAGGATCACTTGAGCGGGGAAGTTCAAGACCAGCCTGGGCAACACAGTAAGACCCATCTCCACCCCACCAAAAAAAAAATTAGCAGGGTATAGTCTAGCACACCTGTATTTTTGGCTGCTTCAAGAGGCTGAGGCAAGAGGATCTCTTTAGCCTAGGTGTTGGAGGCTGAAATGAGCAATGATTATACCGTTGCACTCCAGCCTGGGTGATGGAGTGAAACCCTGTCTCTTAAAAACAAAAAACAAAGAGCGAACACCACAAAAAGAGCCTCAAAGGAAACCCTATGTTGTCTCCACAGTGACCTAACTCATTACAGGGTAACCCACCTTTTAGAACAAACATACCAAAGGAAAGCTCCAACACCTGGGTTGTAGAACTGACTTCGACCAAACGCAGTCTACCTGACTCGGATTCTCATCAGGGGTCTTGGAAGACTCAGGATGAGCCTGAAGTTTGGCTGATCAGTCAGGGAGATGCTCAGCCCCACACTGCACCAGGGTCTACTGGCCACCACCCTATGGAGAACATTACAGGCATTCACAAAAGAGATACCACAGATTTTGTTGGTTGTAAACCTGAAAGATGAATTTTTCTGTTAAATTTTATGAGTATGGGTTTAAAGCATTCATAACACCAGGCTACCCCTTTCCAGTGCCCATGCACTTAAGGCGATGATTTCTGATGTTAAACTCAGCCGGAAAAAGACCTCCAGTGTCCCAGCGTGACTCAACATATGCAACTGACGATTACCATTTTTTCTTTCCCCCCTAGATGGCTGAGAGACTTTGCTGTTCCCTTTGTGCTTTTGAGCCCACACATGGGATCCTCTGTGTGCACCTTGCCTGAGATCCAACCAGGTAAGAGGTGCTGTGGTCCCCAACAGCATTTAAAGATCCCAAGAGTTATTAATAGAAAGAACACATACAATTAAGATGTGGATTTTGAAGGCTCAGTATCTCCAAGGGACCTCTGTCAGAGACAGAGAGGGGGTTGTATAAACGACAAAACCGGCCAGGTGCGGTGGCTCAAGCCTGTAATCCCAGCACTTTGGGAGGCTGAGGCGGGTGGATCGAGATCTCCTGGTCAACATGATGAAACCCCGTCTCTATTAAAAATACAAAAAAAAATTAGCTGGGCATGGTGGCGCGTTCCTGTAATCCCAGCTACTCAGGAGGCTGAGGCAGGAGAATTGCCTGAACCCAGGAGACGGAGGTTGCAGTGAGCCGAGATCGCACCATTGCACTCCAGCCTGGGTAACAAGAGTGAAACTTTGTCTCAAAAAAAGCTACAAAACCGTAGGTTATTAGAGCTGGACAAAGCCTTTGAAACCACTTGTCCCTGCAAACCACAGACTGTTAAAACTGGACAAAACCTTTGGGATCATTTGCCTGGTCTGTTAGATTTATAGATTGGACACCAAGGCCCAATCATGTTTGAGGCTTTAGTCAAGGTTATCCAGAGGCCTCTAACACTTAAAAATAATTTTTTAATTTATAAAAGCAAAGTTTTTTTTGTGTGAAGTAGGGCAATTACATGAAACACATGATTCCATTTGTGGCCTTATAATAACCCAGAAGTTTTCTTCTGCCCTAAATTAGGAAACCTCATTAATGAACAGGGCTTTTAAGAAGCCACAAAGCGTGGTCTGCTTTTCCTCTGTTTAGAAGGACAGCAGCAATTACAGCTGGTGGCTCAGGCAGTGGTTTTTCTGTGCGTTTTCCGTGTTTGTGAGAGATCGAAGTCATTAATGAGACGCTAATGATCCAGCTCCCAAACTGCACTGGAGTTCACTGTGCCTTTCCTGGATGGGGTGAAGAGGCCCCTGCTTTTTGCTTCCTTACCTGTGATGGTGAATTCAGGCCAACCCTGGAGCAAGGAAGGGGCAGATTTTCAAAGGCTGGGGAGACTAAACCTCAACCGTTTTGGCAACATGTTTTCTCCGAGGAATCTGTGCTCAACAAGGGGACCCAAATGCAGACAATGCATTTGCTATCCTTTGGAATCCTGGTTCTCCCTCCATTGCAAAGTTGGCCATTTTGTTCCTCTGTCAGAGAATGTGTGACCTGAAAAAGATCTGCTCAGTCACATTCTGTTCAGTTGGCCTCAGAGTTGGAACATTCTTCTCTTTGTCATTGCGGACACTGGTTTTGAAACAAAGGGCTGACCTTTCCCTTCATGCATGAGTAATATCATTTATTTTCATCTCTCCACAGAAGCTGTGCTATGTCTGTACAACATATATAAAGCCTCTGCCTTGTGTTCAGTGTGGCACCTCACCTCGGCAGGTGCTCAGTCGCCTGAGTTTGAGTTCCCCCAGAAGCAAATCCTGTAGGGATTTGAGGAAATGAGACAAGGGAGGGCAGGCAGCCAGTAAAGGGGTGTTACCTGGCCCACCCCCATCGTGGGCAGCTGGAGGTTGATGCTACAGAATTGTTCCACCCCAGTTGCAAAGGACAAATACTGTATGATTCTACTTACCTTGGGATCCAAAGGTGGTAAAATTCATAGAGACAGAAAGTCGAATAGTTATTGCCCAGGGCTGGTGGGGAGAGAATTGAGGAGTTATTGTTTCATAGTTAGAGAGTTCACTTTTACAAGATAAAAAGGGCTGGGCATGGTGGCTCATGTCTGTAATCCTAGAACTTTGGAAGGCTAAGGCTGGCCTATTACTTGAGGTCAGAGGTTTGAGACCAGCCTGGATAACATGGCGAAACCCTGTCTCCACTAAAAATACAAATATGAGCCGGTCGTGATGGTGCACACCTGTAATCCCAGCTATTCGGGAGGCGGAGGCAGGAGAAATCCCTTGAATTCAGGAGGTGGAGGTTGCAGTGAGCTGAGATTAAGCCACTGTACTCTAGCCTGGGCGACAGAGTGAGACTCCATCTCAGAACAAACAAAGCAAAAGATAAAAAGGGTTCTGGAGATGCATGGAGGTGATGGTATCAGAGCACTGCAAATGTATGCAATACTACTGAGGCGTACCCTTAAAAATAGTTAAGATGGTAAAGTTTATGTTGTGGGTACTTTTTTTTAACTACAATTCAAAAATAAAGTTGAAAAAAAAGAAGAAAGGCACACTGGTCCTGCCCCTCCAGGGCAGGAGGCTCAGAGGAGTGTGGTGTCTCACAGTTCACCTCGGGCCCCACTGAACATCCATGACACACGTGTTAAGAGATGCTCTTCTGGAATGTGAGAGCCACAGACCTGGCCGGAGTGGTGGCTGCCTCCCCCTGGTGTCTTGCCTCAGGGATGGGGCTCTGTGTCTCACCACTGCTCCCTCCTTATTTGTCCTGCCCTCTGCTTTTGGGGTTCTTCTTTTTTCAATAACAATAACATATATATTTTACATATAATGATAGATACGGCAATTATACATACAGACAGGTGTATACTATTAAATATAGTAGTAACAACTGTCTTAGGCTGGGCTCCCTCAGAAGCTGAGCTTGAGATCTGGTCTGAGTGCAAATAGATGACTTGGGAAGCAGTCTCGGGGAGCATGGACAGTGGGGAAGAGGACAGGAGGGACAGGTAAGGGAAGAAAGGCAGCAGGGCAGGTTGAAGAAAGAGTTGTCGCTGTGGGCACCTGGGATGTGGTACCACGGAGGACCTCAAGGAGATGGCATCAAACACACTATAGAATTCCTTCCCCCAGATGCAAAGAAGCTGGATTCTTTGTCACCAGCTGCCATCCTTCATTGGTGGAGGGTTCTCCCAGTATCTTCCTGCTTGCAAGGCCAGGGCAGGCTCCTTGTGCTCAGTAGAGTTGCTGGTGCGTGCATGAATGGGGAGTGCTGGGGACCTCGGTGCCCACAGCCACCATAACTGGTGTTTACACCTCTGCTGTGTGCTTGGCCCTTCACATGCGTTCTCTGGCTTGACTCTCACAATCTCCTTTCAGGGATTTTATAGAGGAGGAAAGAAGAGAGTAACCAGCTTGCCTAAGGCCATGCAGGTTGTGGGGTGGCCAGTCTGCTCCAGAGCCTAAACCATTTGCTGATGCTTGCTTTGAGGTGTCCTGTCTGGCCCTCATGGTCCTGGAGCTGGGGACGTCTCTCATGAGCTGCTCTCCTGGGGAGCTCCAGTTTCTCTTAGCTGTGTGACTTTGGTCATGGGAACACAGAAGAGGGGTCACTATGAAGCCCACTTTTCTGAGGAGGTCCCTGGGGATCAGAGAGGTTGAGAGGCCTGCCCAAAGACCTACAGCAGGAGAGTGATGGAGTGAGGTCCTGGGTCGTTCGATTCTCCAAGCAGTATATTTTCACTGTGTTGGAGTTTGGTGAAATGGGCATCTATCACTGGTGAGTATAAACTGGTGACACCTCAATGGTGGACAGTGTGATTAATATTAGTCAAAATGACAAAAGCCCATGGCCATATACTCAGCAAGTCCACTTCTGAGAGTTCATCATGCAGATACACTTGCAGGAGTATGAAAGGGTTTATATATATAGTGGCTCTCTGCAGTTTTGTTTTGCTAGTAAAAGACTGGAAGTAACTTAAATGACCACTGATAGGTGACTGACTAAAAACAGTGTGGGCCACCCATGCGATGCAATGCCACACAATCGTAAAGAAGATGAGGAGCCTCGTGCAGATTAATTTGTTAGGAGAAAAAGAAAAGAAACCCAAGGGTGCAGTGTGCTGTAAGTTGTGTGAAGAAAGAAAATGTGTGTGTTTGATTGTTGCTGCCTGTCTCTGATAAGACACCCAAGAAACTGGCAATTCTGATGGTCTCTGGGAGGGGACTGAGATGCTGGGGCCAGGGGAGGGGAGGAAAGGAGACTTTTTCTGACTGCTTTCTGATATCTTTTGAATGTCAAATCATATATAGATATATTGAATCGATATATCTCAAAAAGAAATACAATTTAAAAATCTTAAGTTCTGTGAGTTCTTTTTGTTATACTGCATTTCATTCTGCAATCTCAATGTCCTCATCTGTGAAATGATGAAAACAGTATTTGTTTGAAAGAGCAGTGGAGGCCGGGCGCGGTGGCTCAAGCCTGTAATCCCAGCACTTTGGGAGGCCGAGGCAGGTGGATTAGGAGGTCAAGAGATCAAGACCATCCTGGTCAACATGGTGAAACCCCAACTCTACTAAAAATACAAAAAATTAGCTGGGCATGGTGGCGCGTGCCTGTAATTCCAGCTACTCAGGAGGCTGAGGCAGGAGAATTGCCTGAACCCAGGAGGCGGAGGTTGCAGTGAGCCGAGATCACGCCATTGCACTCCAGCCTGGGTAACAACAGCGAAACTCCGTCTCAAAAAAAAAAAAAAGAAAGATCAGTGGAATAATCTGTGGTGCCTATTCCTTTAGAGCGCTCTCCACTGCCCTTAAACACTTAATTTTAATAGCAAAGGATTGATCTGTCTCCACTGCTCGAGGGAAAGCACCATGAGGGCAAGAGCTGTGTTCCACTTGCTCATATTCTATCTCTGGGCCTGCGCCCGGTGGGTGCTGAATCGGAAATTGGCAGTAACTAGTAATACCACAGGGGGTGTGAACCTTGGCTTTTGGAAATTTGCAGGAATTTTTGTGTTCTATTCCCTTTGGTTCTTTTTCTTGTGCACTTAGGTAGAGAAAAAATTATTGCCTAAGCTGATCAAAGGAATCTGAGAGCCAAAGCCAAGATTCAAGGTAAAAATGGGATCCTTACTTTCTGAAGAACTGAGTACTTTTCCTGCTGGCTGTGCCACCCACACATGTATAAGTATTAGGCCTTGGAAACAGCAAATACAGAAATGGCAAAATCTTGCTAAAGGTAATAGAATTACCGTGGAATGTTCTAAATGAACAATGTTGCATTTTGAGAAGAGCACTTAAAAATGAGGGCCCCTGGATTAGTCTCATTCAGGGATACCTGTTGATGTACAGAAACTGCTACAAAGATTTTAATGTCTTTACTCTTTCTTTTAAAATAATCTTTTAAAAATTTATTTAAAAAGTTTTTTTGTAGAGATGGGGGGTCTTGCTTTGTTGCCCAGGCTGGCCTTGAACTCCTGGACTCAAGTGATTCTCCTGCCTCAGCCTCCCAAAGTGCTGAAATTACAGGTATGAGCCACCATGTCTGGCCCTTAAAAAGACTCTTCTTTATATAAAGGTAAATAAAAAGCTTAGGTGCCTAATTGTTCAGAAAAATGGAATCTGTTAACCTTTTGGCTTAGTTACTATCTGACCCCTTTCTTTTCAAATGTGAAAAGAAAGATCTCTAGGATAAAGGGTTTATAAAAGGTAAGCTGTCAGGGAAAGTAGGCTCGCTTCTTTTTCAGGGCTAAACATGCTGAAACAAAGCATAGAGAATATTTTCTTTGACTTATTTCTTAATGAGTTTCACTCTAAGCTCAGTAAATTTAGTCAAGAAATAATTAAGTTAAAAAGACAGCCTATTGAACTAAATCAATCTCCAAGATACTAATACACATTTCTGACATTTAGCTGGCTTTCCTGAAACCCTTTTATAAAAGAAATTTACATCTATAAAGGAAATTTCTATTTGTAAGGGTGTCTGTACACTAGAAACTCTTAACATTGTTTGAAATTTACATATCAAGCCTTACCTTTACTTAAGGTGATTTTCTGGCCTTCTTGCCTTGGCTAGATTTTTCTTCACACCTTTTTCCTTGATTTGAGCAAATGATGATTCAATATTTAGGCTTGAAGTTTCAGTTCTGTGCTTTTGAGATATAAATTTTCTGCCGTGTTTCACCTAACAGTCATCTTTTTAGTAGGTAAATTTTTGCCTAGCTAACAATTGCTTAGGGCAATAAAACACAAAATTGAAAGATTTCTAGTCTGAATGGGGAAAATATTTGAAAGCTAGTAAATGAGAATTTTTAATGAATGCCATAAGATCTGCTTCTGTCTGTGTTTCTATGTCTTTATGTGTTATGTGTGATACTTGGTACGTAAAGGTAGTTTCAAAACGGTTGATAAAATAGAAACGGCTTTGAAATTGTCAGTTATATATAATGCAGACATTTTTGCCTGGGCTTACAGGTTAGATGGGTTTATGCTGTGTGTGTTACATGTTTTACAGCGAAGAAACTATTTCTGTAGTGTTTTTGATATTTGCTTAATTTAAATGTGACCTTATGTTTTTGGTTTTGAGCCTCGGGATTCTGGGGTCTGTATATGTGGCCATGCTGGGGCCTGAGGGCATGTTCCTAGCACCTAGACCACCAGCTGCAAGGCAAAGTCAAACCCAATAATGGCCTCTTCCTCCTGGGCCTAGCTCTGCCTCCCGACTATTCTGGGAGACATTCATTCCTTTAGGCATCATCTTCACAGTTGCTTTCTGTCCTGAACGCTGCATCTTCTGTGTAAATTCAGAACTCAGAGAAGCCCCGCCCTTCATGGCTGTCCTGGGTGCCACATGACTACTTGGGAAAAACATTAGGGAGGGAGGGTACTTGGGTCATAGTGTCAAATTCTTTTAAATAATATAAAATCTTATGTTAAAAAACAACATAAAGTCATGTTATGTTACATTAAGTAGTAATCATAAAATGTCTGAGTCATTGGTAAGTTAAAATATGGAACCATTAATTATTATTATTATTATTATTATTATTTTTGAGATGGAGTTTTGCTCTTGTTACCCAGGCTGGAGTGCAATGGCGCAATCCCGGCTCACTGCAACCTCCGCCTCCTGGGTTCAGGCAATTCTCCTGCCTCAGCCTCCCGAGTAGCTGGGACCACAGGCACGCGCCACCGTGCCCAGCTAATTTTTTGTATTTTTAGTAGAGACGGGGTTTTACCAGGTTGACCAGGATGGTCTAGATCTCCTGACCTCCTAATCCACCTGCCTCGGCCTCCCAAAGTGCTGGGATTACAGACTTGAGCCACCGCGCCCGGCCAGAACCATTAATTATTAAACATGAGTTTAAGTTTCTCTATACTTGGGCATCTTATTTTTTTTTTAATTTTTTTTTTTTTTTTTTTGGTTAATGAATGAGAGCTTCTTATGTTGCTCAGGTTGGCCTTCAACCCATAGCTTCGCCTCCTCAAGCGCCAGGACAACTGGCCAGAGCCACCGTGGCTCCCGGGCATCTTATTTTTATATAGTATTGAAAACTAAATATATTTAGATCTGTTAATAAAAACTTGAGGAAACAGCTTTCTAAAAAATTATAAACTGGCTTTCATCTACAAATACTGATTTAACACGATTCAAAATTACTTCCTAGGGCCTTCACTAGAAATTAAGGTCGCAAGAAATAAAATTTTGGTTAATAATAGCCAGACATGGCGGCTCACATCTATAATCCCAGCACTGTGGGAGGCCAAGGTGGGTGGATCTCTTGAGATTAGGTGCTCAAGACCAGCCTGGGCAACATGGCGAAACTCCATCTCTACTAAAAATAAAAAAATTAGCTGGGCATGGTGGCACACGCCTATAATCCCAGCTACTACTTTGGTGGCTGAGGCATGAGAACTGCTTGAACCTGGGAGGCAGAGTTTGCAGTGAGACTTCAGCCTGTATGTCAGAGTGAGGCTATGTCTTAAAAAAAAAAAAGATTGTAGTTAATATATGTAACTAAGACCACTGGAGGCTGGTTGTGGTGGCTCATGACTAATCCCAGCACTTTGGGAGACCAAGGCTGGTGGATCACCTGAGGTCAGGAATTCAAGACCAGCCTGGCCAACATGATGAAAATCAATCTCTACTAAAAATACAAAAATTATCTGGGTGTGGTGGTGTGTGCCGAGTAGTGTGCAGCTACTTGGGAGGCTGAGGCAGGAGAATTGCTTGAACCTGGGAGGCAGAGGTTGCAGTGAGCTGAGATCATGCCATTGCACTCCAACACGGGCAGTAGAGCAAGATACCCATCTCTTTTTTTTTTGAGACTGAGTCTTTCTCTTGTCGCCTCGGCTTCCTGAGTGTGTGGATAACCTGAGATCAGTAGTTTAATACAGGCCTGGCCAACATGGTAAAACCCCATCTCTACTAAAAATACAAAAAAAAAAAAAAAAAAAAAGATGGAAGGTTAAGTCGTGGAATTTTTTTTTCCTTTATTTTTCACAACCCTTGGGATATGAAGACTTCAAAGAAAGAAAAGCTTCAGACATGCCAGTCCTTTCTCCAACCTGCCCCCAGGATCCAGCAGATACGGAGTTAAATCCTAAAATTTGAAGACATTGGGTTTCTGCTCTTCCCTTCAGGCTGCTGCCAACTCACTGCCCTGTCCCCGGTTTTTGAAACACATTGGTGAGTTTCTTAACTGCTGTTTCCATCTGCCTCAGCCTCCTGGGATTACAGGCATGCACCACGTCACTCAGCTAATTTTTTGTATTTTTAATAGAGACGGGGTTTCACCATATTGGCCAGGCTGGTCTCAAACTAAGGTGTTCCACGTGCCTTGGCCTCCCAAAGTGCTGGAATTATAGGCGTGAGCCACCTTGCCCAGCCCCATCTTTTCAAAATATATTAAAAAAATCCAAGCAACCAAGCAACAAAAACAACCTCTTTTCTCCTTCCTCCACACCTCATCTTCTCAAAGCAAAGTATTAAGTAAAGGCCATGGGTAGATTGCAGGCTGTCCCTGGCTTGCTGATGTGTTTTGTTTGGCCCACATAGTATTTTTTTTTTTTTAATTTGAGCCAACATTTTAACATTGTGGGATTTCTAATACCAATTCAGAAAATCTAGAATCCCTGACCACATTGGAGTGCAAAACCAGCAGGAGCTATGCAGTTGCATAGGGATAATCTAGTTTAGCTCGTCTCTGACCCCTTTTGGCATCTGAGTTTGCCATCTCTATGTAAAAGACCTTGCAGTCAGCTGTCCTCACAGTATTTTGCTGGATTGAGCTTTCCGGAGCAATGGGGTACTGCTCTGATGTTCTTGGGTTCTTCTCCAGATTTGCTCATCCGCTCAACGTCCTTGACTGATTTTATTAATCCTTTTCCTGTGTTCATGTTAAGTCTATCAAGTAACCTACTATTTGAGTCTCTCTGCTGAGATCTTGGCTTAAAGCACTTTGCTATTTAATTTTAAGTTGTGTGACTTCACACATTTATGAATGTTCTGGTGTTAATGGCTTTGGAAAAGTGAGAAAGTGTAAGATTGCACACTGCAGCATTTTCCTTTAATTCGTAATTGAAGTTTCAGATTTGTTCTACAGCCTTTGGCTGTATCAACTTCGTAGTTTTTTTCAAGGAACTTGTCTATTTCATCTAAGTTGTTATATTTATTGGCATAAAGTCACTCATAATGTTACCAAATTATTCTCCTATTGTCTCTAGGATCTGTAGTGATGCTCCATCTCTCATTTCTGATACTGGAATTTGTGTCTTCTCTCTTTAAGTGTTCAGTCTAACTTGATATTTCTTTCTCTTTTTTTTGAGATGGAGTCTTGCTCTGTCACCCAGGCTGGAGTGCAGTGGTGAGATCTTGGCTCACTGCCCCCTCTGCCTCTGGGGTTCAAGCAATTCTCCTGCCTCAGCCTCCTGAGTAGCTGTGATTACAGGTGGCTGCCACCACGCCTGGCTAATTTTTGTATTTTTAGTAGAGATAGAGTTTCACCATCTTGGCCAGGCTGGATATTTCTTAACATATATTTTCTTTGGATTGTCTGCACAATCTCAGATTCTCTTAATTGCCTTCTTTCCTTCTAAAGGCACCCGCCACCTCCTGGACTATGTTGCAGCCACCACTGGGGGCCGATAGCCACCGGCCTTTCGAATGTGGGATCCTCTTCTTTCCTGCTGCCATGTGGGAGGCCAATCACCCATATACCTGGAGTTTCTGGTTTTTCCTGCCATTTCTGGACGTGAATAAACAGAAGCACAACTATAGGCCTGATCTGGCATCTGCAAGCACAGGGCAGCTTCACCCTGTGTAGTGGACACTGACTAGTGAGAAACAGAAGACAGAGTGAGCTGGCCAGGACTGGGACCAGGGTGAGGTGAGGGAGACAACAAAAGCTTGCAGGTAAGGAGGCATGCATTGTCAAGGGTACACCTGTATCCCAGACATCTCTGGGATACACCTTTGCTCTGGAGGTGGCAGATGAGCTCCCCTCCCTGTGTGCTCCCATGGACTGTGTTCTGAAAGCTGGTCTGAGTCCCCATGTGTGGAGTGAATCGTCCTGCCTGGTAACCTGTTGTGTCTCTGCGTGAATCGTTATGGATCAGAGGCAATACTCTGGGCAGTTGCACCTCCTTCCATGAGTCCTCTCCTCTTCTCCTCACCCTTAAATTCAGTATCTTCCAAATAAAGTGTAAGTATCTTAATTCTTACCCCAAGCTCTGTTTTTCTTTTTTTTCTCTGAGACAAGGTCTTGCTCTGTTGCCTGGGCTAGAATGCAGTGGCACAAGCATGGCTCGCTGCAGCCTCGACCTCCTGTTTCAGGCGATTCTCTCACCTCTGCCTCCTGGGTAGCTAAGATGATAGGCATGCCACTAGGCCAGCTAAGTTCTCCATTTTTTTGTAGAACCATGGGGTCTTGCCGTTTTACCAAGGCTGGCCTCCAACTCCTGGATTCAAGTAATCTACCCACCTAAGCCTCCCAAAGTGCTGGGATTACAGATATGAGCCACTGTGCCCAGCCTCAGGCTCTGTTTTTTCAAAAACGGGCTAAAACAATGTGAATGACTAAAGACAAAACACTAGATGAATTAGGCAGTTACTTTTTAATGAGGTACTGTAATGGGCAGAAATTCATTTAATTCTGATCTTTTGATGAAAAAGCAGAGGCCGTTAATTGGATGTTTGCAGGCTGAATTCTATATATTTTCTTTGATCTCTTTCTCTCTCTCTCCATTTAGTTGAGTGGTCATTTAAGAATTAGGCACTTTCATGTAAAATTCCAAATTTTTGACTTCTTTTGGAACATTGGAAGATGTGGAGATACAGGCCACCAGTTGGCTGGAGTTGGGCACTGGCTGCCCCCTTTGATGGGATGGGAGAGCACAGGCCAGCTGGCTGCAGTCCCAGTACTCCACATGACATGTAAGGACTCCTGCACATGGCCCATGTGTCCTCATTTATAGCATAGGCCTGGCCCTTTGCAGGCTTTTGAGTTTGACATCTCCACAGTAAAGAGAAATTCAACTCCGGGTCTTGTTGGGATAGGAATTCCTTTTCAGAAGGCATATATATACTGGGCTAGTGGCCTAAAGATTGCTGAATCATCTGGCCCAATTAGAATTGGTCTTTGATTGATGGAGGAGTCAGACAGCACCATATGGAGCACATCCCAAGCTCCCCTCCTGGGAGGGGAAGATTCTCCTAACAAAGTGACCAGTGCTTTTGAGAGCTCCTGAATCTTGAGAGAGAGAGGGAGCTGTTGGTTTAATATCAGTAACACTATGAGGAAATTTGTCAACAGAGATCCTGTTTTATGTGTATACGTATATTTCAATTATACATATTACAACATATATAACATATATTCTATATAATATATAACATATTATATACATAGTATATATAACCCATAACATTTTATACAACATACAATATGTAACATATACAATATATGACATATATGACATAAACTCATATATATAATAGTATTGGGTGAGTTCTGTGCCACCTCTCAGAGTATAGGACATTGAGCTGTTGGTTTCTGGTTGCTGGTGGCTCCATGGTGAATCGCTGGCCAAAAAGATGATGCTTATTTCAGGATGTGCTACACATTCCTTCTCTTGGTCAGTATCCCCTCGTTTTCTTCCTCTTTTTGGTTGCAATCACTAGGACATGGGTTTAGAAGTCAGAGTGATGACTCCAGCTGTCTTCAACTCCCACCTTGGCTCTACCTGGTCTAGAAGCAACCCAGCTGAGATGTAGAGAAGCAGTGTGTCAAAACAAATGGATTATTCTGCCCTTCTTTCTTCTCCATGACTGTCCCCGCCCCTTTACAGTTGAATGGTGCTTGAATATTTTCAAAGTGCTCCTCATCTTTCACCTCATTAGATCTTTCTAATAGACCTGTCATTCATCTCATTAGATCCTTCTAATGTACCTGTGAGTTAGACAGAGCAGGCAACTTCAATTTAAGATGTAAAGTGAGTCACAGCGTGGCTAAGCGACGCATACCCCTCTGCTCATCAAGGCAGTAGAAGAGCAGGGATTTGGCCCCAGGTCTCCAGTGTTTCTCCTGCTTGACTCTCAACCTGTGATTAAGGACATTAACTAGCTTTAATTCTTCAGCTAGGACTGGTAAAAGCAGTGCTTTCAAAACTGTGGGATGCAGCTCAATAGTGAAATCCATTTAATAAGTGCAACCAGTTTTTACAAATAAAATAGAACAGACGGGATAATACCAAAGCACATTGCACATAAAGATAAGAATCGCTTCGTAAAACATTTGATGTGAGTGTGCTGCTAGTTTTGTTTCCCAGGCTTTGGCTGTTGCTTGGTCTGGAATGGATTCACATGCCTTTAGACTTGAATTTTGGATGCTGTGAGCCTTATCAGTTGCTTCCACCTGAGTTTTAGGGAGATTAGATTCAGTGACAGATTGTTGGAAAGTGTTGTTTTTGCACACCTGCTAATTCAAGGCAGAAATGTGCCTCACAGATGATAGGATCTCTGTGCTTACAATACTGGGCTTAAAAATAAAGAACCCTCTTTCCCCCCAAACCCACTGGATACCCCTGTCTAGAAAAGCTAGAACCACAAAGATTATAAACAGCTATTAGCATAATGCTAACATGATTTTTAAGAAAGAGTAATATTTTTATCCTTTGCTCTGAGCATTTGACAAATAAGCAAACAGACCAGATAGTTGCTGCCAGGGGTCAAGGAAAACGTAGACAAGCCTGTACTGGGCAGAAACTTGGGGCTGAAAGAGGGCAAGAGCAGATATAGTTCGAGGAGTGAATGTGACTCTTAGGGCTGAGAAGTAGGTCAAGGTCAGTCCTAAGAAGGCTGCCTCATAATCTGGGGAGTCATGAAGGGGTAGAGTTGCATAGGGCAAGTCAAGATCCATACCATGGAGGTGGGGAGGGTAGAGAAATCTGTTGCCAACAGACGCTGCCTAGTGGGCTTACAGGCAGTTTTCATTGAATATCCAGACACATGGTTATGAGAATGGATGCTTAAGTAGTCAATTTACTTTGCGTCATTGAGAAAAAACAATAAACGGAAGCCAATCAATCAAGAAAGATGGTTCATAAATAATAAATAGACTTGTAACATGGAGTGCCTTTTCTAATTGATTGCCTGTTTGGCTAACTTTTCTTGAAGATGTCCCGTAGGAAAATCACACACATATAAATCACACTCAGTTGAAGAGAGAATATTCTTTTAAGGATGTAGGTTTTGTCTGTGATTTTTACTACATGCATCATTTTTTTCCCCTGTTGGCTCATATCTCCGAAATGGCAGTGGAAAATGTGATGATTTACAAATACTCCTTTTACATAAAACTTTTCAACTGATAATCTAGAAAAACAGTGACAATGAAGTTGATACGTGGTGAAATGAGGATCAACTGCATGTCTAAATAAAAGATAAGTAGCAGTAGAGGAAGAGATGGCAAATGACTCGGGACCTATGAAGATGTCAGTCTGGGGGTGGGGAGGCAGGTGAGACAGAGAGAGAGAGAAAGAGAAAGAGCATTTCCTGGTGGTCTCAACTTTTACCCTTGGTTCTCTTGGAAACTTTTCTCCCTCCAGCACTGACCTCCCTGTAGTCCAAACCCTGTGGTTCCCAGGAAACTTGATTTCCTGTCTTGTGATATGACTTATTTTAAGGCTGGATTCATCAAAAACACCCCGTGTATTTCTAAAATCCCATGATCAGTTTGAAGAGAAAAATACAAGTAAAAATATGCAAATAATAAGTATAAAAAGAATAATAAATATATAGATATCTAAAATAAATGTATGTGTAAAATGTAAATATGTATATAAAAATTCATATATAAATTACATATAAAACATACATATATGTGTATATATGTATGTATGTATCTATCTGTCCTCGGCAGATCCCACAGCAGCCGAAGGCTCTTACCAAAAGGACAGTAGTGGTGTTGCTGGTCACACAGGCACACATGGCCCATGACACCAACTTGTTTTCTTGGTTGTGATTTCCTCCCACTGTGGACTTTGTGGCTGGCTTTCTTTCCTGTTGCTACACTGAGCCCTCGGGTGGTGAAGGCTGATCAGAAGAAGGCCACGGTCATGGCTGGACTGGGAGAGGGCTGTAGCATAGTGGGGATGGAGCTTTTGAGTCCGAAGCAATGGCAAACAAACAGCAAGGATGGCTTTGTAATGGGCCACTCCAGAGGGGGAGAAACACCAGCCCACGAGCTCCGCTGGTCCAAAGGTGCAGTAACCACTAACCCCATACCCACACCTTCTCACTCCTTCTTAGATCTTAGAGTTACCATAGATAGGCACTGAGGGGCTGGAGCCTCTTGAAGGCAGTCCAGTTTGACAGCTGGTGTTTGCCTCTCAGGGAATGTGCCAAGGACAGAAATATCTCCATGAAGATGTTCCTGCTTCTGCTTCCATGTTTTCCCAATGGTGACAAAGTTGCAACATGCCTTATTGATAAACTGTGAAGTGGAGGTAAAAGATAACTATTATTATACCATTTGGGTCAAACGTTCAGTAAATGACTGGCTCTCCCAACCCTCAGCCTCTCTCTGGCCAGCTGCATGATGGGAGGAGCATGTCTGAAAAGACAGAGCCTTACATGAGTCTGCTCCATCAATGCCAAAATCAGAGGTCCTGAGAGCTGAGCCTTGCTGGTGTTGGCTACTGACCAATGGCCACTGGCACACAGGAGAATTAAATTGAGCATCTGTCAACTAAACTCTACAATAACCACTGGATACTTTTCAATGTTGCATGTCTGGATTTCAGTAGCATCAGCCTTTGGGTTGTAAATTGCATAGCAGAGTGGCCAGAAGTGTTCCTTGGACCTTGCTAGGGAGACATCCAGTGGTGACTTAACAATTTTTTTTCTAGGGTAGGGGGTTTTGGGGCAGCGATCAGGTTGGAAGGATTTTGTTCTGATGCTGTATTTATGTGGGCCTTAGTAAGACTGAGAAAGTCTCAGTTTCTCCACGGCAAGAAATGGTGGTAGTGGCAGTGGGTTGATAGAGACTAGGGGGATGCGTGACTAAAGTACTTCTACCTCCCAGCCACCCCTTGCTGTTGCCAGCAGAGTCAGCTACATTGATTTAGGAGACAGACCTAATATTCAGACTAAGACTGGGCTAATCCCCTAATTAGTTGAAGAGAGGATTATGCAGTGCATTCTTTATTTCAAAAAACAGTTCCGTCTCAAAGTTTTCTTTCTTTGCTGCCCTCTTTCCTACTACTTTCTTTTAGATATGTGCCTTCATGTTGCCAGCATCGTCCAGCTTCCTGGATTTTCACCAGAATCTGGCTGATGGCATTTTTCTGATTCATTGTCTTTACACGGGAATAATACTGATAGAGCATGACCTTCAGCTTGCTTCTGTGACCATTCTTGTGTCCTCAGTCACCACTGAGACATTGACATTAACATTAACTCTCAGAATCCTTTGACCCCCAGAATCCTAAACCCTTCGGCCACTTATATTAGAAGGTTTCTAATCTATATTTATACCAAGAGAGTTTATTCTTGCCTGAGGCACTTTTAGTTTGAAAATTCTTATCAGGCTCGACTTTCTCATTTGTAGTTTAGGAAAATGATTCTCAGGGAAGCCAAGTGAATGTATCTCAGAAACAGCCATTTAGTAGGACTTTGTTTTTCATTAATATGTGAAATTTTGTGAAAATGTGCTCTGGACCTTATTTATTATCTCATGTGCGGAACTTGGTAAGAGGCGGCAAAGTGAGTGTTGTTTGTCCGACCAGGTTTCTTTCTCCTTTTTGTGGTAATGTTTCCCAAAGGAAATATCTTTTCCCCAATGTGTGCTGGGGCTGGATATTTTGGGCTTTCAATCAAAATGTCCTACCCACGGAGGCTGGATAGTCAGATTCACTTTGAGGACCTTGAGTCTTCTTTTTTTTTTTTTGATAGAGATAGGGTTTCACTATGTTGTCAAGCTGGTCTCCAACCCCTGAACACAAGCAATCTGCCCGCCTTGGCCCCCCAAAGTACTGGAATTAGAGGTGTGATCCACTGAGCCCGGTTCATTGACCTTCAGTCCTGAGTAGGAGGGGAAATGTTTGGGTTTCATATCTATGTCAGCAGTGGGGCCCTAGTGAACTGTCAATCAGCCCCAGATTCCCAGACCTCTAAGGGTCTAGTGCCTGACTTCTTTTGGGGTGATCGTTCAGATCTACATTGCATACTGCAAGGCATCCTGCGTCTTTCTTATGGATTTCAATTTTGCTTAAGAGAGACAATTTTGGTCC